TATTATCTTGGCCGCGTCTACACTGACGTATTGAGAATCTTCGCCTTCGGCTGATGAGTAACTAACCGTGGGATTCTTGTATATAGTTCCCAGGGATGGGGACTTCGAGATCTTTTCCTCACGAAGCAAATAACCATACTGCTCTATGTGCTGGGCATATTCGTACATATCTCGGAAGTTTTCCCCCAAGAATTTCTTTTTATATTCCATATCCAGGCCGTTTAGAGCGATTCTGACTAATTCAACTTCAGGGAAAGGTACTTGGCACCAATTTCTAGCCAACTTGAACCTTGTTAAGTATTCCATTGGTGACTCGTCTGATGCTTGAGCCATCTTAGCTAGTGATGAAACTGACATTTCCATCCCCGGTCGATAAAATTATTCATGGAACTTTTCGACCAGTTCCTCCCAACTCTAGACGGAATTAGGCGGGAGGTTGATGTACCAAGCAAATGCTGAACCTGTTAGCGAGAAGTTGAATAGTCAAAGTTTATGAAAGTTACTATTAACATCTCCACATTGCGCAGTGAACCGAGCTACATGTTCTAACAAAGACAAGGACGATTCTCCCGCAAAAAGGTTAAAATCTGGGATCTTGAAGCCTTTAGGATATTCAAACTTCTGCACATAAGCTGGGTATGGATGGATGAATTTTAGGAACTTCAACCCTTTTTTTAGGGTCGAATCGATCATTTTTTAGATCTTGATCATGTTGACGGGTATGGTTTCCACTCCCTAGTCGAATCCTTCTAATCTATTGCTTGAACGTCTTCTTTTTTCCAAGTTCATCGGTTGGGGCTGAGTGGATCCTGTCTCAGCTTGCAGTGGATTACTCTTAAATGGAAATTGTCGAGATTAACTGGCGTGTTCATCTTCGAAGGCTTTACTGACCAATAGTTCAAGCAATCTAGTGTGTGTATCACCACTACTTCATATTACCTCGAGCAAATTGTTCATTTTTTGGCCGACCGACTGTTCGACCTGTCGAGATTGCTCATCAAGTCGTCTTCGAATAAACGACCTAGTCGAGGGATCAGAGCCTTCCTCACCATCTTCATCACAGTCTTCCACTATCCCTTCAATTAAAATGCCTGGGGTTTGTTGGGAATTTCTGCATTGCGAGGCTGGCCACCGAGACAAACTTTCTTTTCTTGGTGCATCGCATTTGCAGCTTCAGTTGTCACAGTAATAAGGGGATTTTGTGCTTGTGGCAAATCTTGTCCAAGGCCCTGAACGGACAGGTCAGTCATTGACTTTCCCATGATTGTTTTCTTTTTTATTGACCGTGTCTCAATGGTCATGAACTCCGAAGTTTTAGCACTGGGTTCCATCGGGCATGCCAAAATGTTGACCCTAAAAACTACAAAGCCTATGTGGCGCGCATGCCAAGTAACTAGTGAACTAACAATGTCATTCGATTAATGCGAGGCATGCCAACTCGTCGGCTGAGCTCAGCCGAGGAAGAGTAAAATTTGTTGATGTTGCGTTGAACACACTGCTAACTTCTTGATCTTGCAACTGCGTTCGAGGAAGGAACAAGTCTCGACCTTCGGGTTCTCGAGCCTGAAGACAAGGTTGCTAGTTCTGTGAAGTTCACGAATCGTCGACGCCGGATTCAATCATGGTGATTATATTCGTAAAAGCATAAGCACGTCAAACCGACTCTAAACTATATGGACACAGGTACTCAAAAGAGATGTATGTCTTGATGGTAAATGTGGTTCAACCGTTAGAATGCCAAACTCTGAAACTCACTTGTGAGTATCCAATCATAAAATCACTCGGCATTTAATATACCGAATGTAATAACTTGTAACACCTTACTTCGCCGAGAAGGCTAATAAGATGACATCTGCCAATAAGGATTCGGAAACCATTCTCGACTGAGACTTGGATAGGTAACCAGTCGGCCTTGATGCAGTGCTGTTTATCCAAACTGAAGGTGCTCCTTGATCGGCTGATTCTACGGCAACAGTGCTGTTTATCCAAACTGAAGATGTTCGCCGATTGCTTGCACAGTGCTGTTTATCCAAACTATAGGTGTGTTGGCGGAAAAAGAAAATAAAAAATCTCAAGATGTTTAAGAGGTTTACATATGGCAATTTGTGTATTGAATTGGAAGGGCCTCGAATGACGCACCCCCTTCTATTTATAGCAGCCAATCTCACCTTGTCCAAATCAGAACTTTACTTGGATTAGGATTCTTCATTCTAGTCCAACCAGGGCTCGGCCAATCTTACTCTTACTAGGACTTTGAACCAAACTCTTTATCCGCCCACCTTCATTTCTCAAATCTCAGCGTCTTCACTCCATTGAGACTCCTTATCACACTAGGACTTCGACTCATCCGTTCTTATCCAAATCACTTATTCTTGCAATAGGACTCGACCGCCCTAACTAAACGGCTTATGACCACTAGACAACCCATAATACGTTTGGAAAAGCTTTGGGCCGAACATAAACCTACGCTCGGCCCAATAATATTATTTTGGGCCCAAACAATTATTTGGTGCATTATATTGAGCTACTTTTGAACTTTTTTATCTTGGGGACATTTTTGTCTAATTTTTTTTGGTGAAGCCGTGACTCCAAATTGGGACGCTGGCTTTATATATACAGAAGATATACATATATATATATATATATATATATTTGTCATATATTGTGGGCTCGATTGATATACAAATTTTGTTCATTTTAAACGTTGTTAAAAAAAAAATTATTTATTTAATTATCACTATATAACAAAGAGTTCGTCAATTCTTTTAAACTCAATTAAATGTCTCAAATATTTTCGATTTGATTAATATTTTGTAAGAATGATTCATAAGGTGCAACTTGAAAAATAAATAATTTGGATTCTTAAAATTCAACTTGATGTAGGCCCCAAACTAATCTCCATTTTTGTGAAAAATAAAGACCGTTTATCATAAAGATCGTTAAAATGAGAATCCTTTCTTTCAAAGATCGTGAAAATTCGATCTCACCTTTTTTTTAACAGAATCTTACCTAAATTTCTCCTGCAGCGAAGCTAGGGCCGCATTGAAATTCAACTAAAAGCAGTGGGGTAGGAAGTGCGGTACACCGCTGATCTTCGGTTACGGACGCGTGTCCAACGACAGACCCTTGTGGCACGTGACGCCCGCCCCACTATCCTTTGTTTTCTTTCGCCGCTTTCGTATACTTTGTGCCGGCCTTTTGGGCGAAATGGAAGATTTGGTACAGATCTAATTGTAGTGTGTATGGAGGTGCATTTGTCCGGCTGCTATATATTCCACACGATCCAAAAACTCTTCCACCAATATATATGGGCCTTTAGGATGTTTAAGTGTGACAGTAGTATTTAGGGTGCCTTTATTGGAACCCAATTTTAAATTAAAGTTCAGCCTACAAACGAAAAAAATATTAGATTGCTGTTATTCTCACCCCCCAACATTATTTCTTCACTCTCTTTTTAATGAAAATTTTAATAACGATCTTGGACTAGAGCAAATTGTTCAATTTAAATATAAAGACGATCATGGACTTGAGCAAGTTGTTAAAGCATGGTCCTTTCGACCCCGACAGGCCTAAAGGAACAGAGGTCCAAAGAGAAGCCAATGAACAATGAGTATGGAAAGGTGAAGCTGATCGCTTCAAAGAGCCCAGGTCCTTTGGATGTCTAGTCAGCAATCAAGCCGAGCACTTTCTCTTAAAGTGCTTTCCAAGCACTAGATGGTGAGGTTGTCTCTAACAATGGATCTTCATGCCTAAGTCAGTTTTTTTGGAAAAGAGAGAATTCAGGGCTTAGGTGAGTAGCAACCGTTTATCAGAGATTGGTGAAGATGAGGTATTTATAAGAAGGTGGCCAACCTAGGTGTAGAGTTTGTCCTACACGTGATGGTTTCTTATTGGCCAAAGTGAGTCATCTGTTGGATAGATGAGAAAAGAAAAATCCCAAAATATTAATTATAAAATAATAACTTGGGATGGTGATTGTAGCATTCTTGATTGATTGTGATGAGGACATTCTTGTCTTCTTCGAGAAAAAAAGTCCACCTATCGTCTCTATAATTTTTAGAATTATTTTTCGCTTTGCATGAATAGCACCACACTCAATGTAAGTTGAGTTCTCGTCCTTTTTTTTTTTTGTTCGAAAGTTGAGTTCTTATCCAAAACTACTACTTAATATAATAGGAGTGGTCAAACATCTTAATGCTCTTGCAAGCAAGGTTTATTAACTTTTTAAATGTAGGTCCTTTCTTTTTTTTTTAGCACCTCCCGCGGAGTAGATGTGCTGAAATTTTAAATCCAGCTAACATGTGGACAATTTAACTGGTGATATGGTCGTTGGACATTTTCTTTGGAATAACTTTTTTTGATATCTAATGATTCCTTTCACCCAAAACTAATGGCAAACAGCAGGGAGAGTGCCCAACTTGTTACAAACCCTTGCTATATCTGTTTCTTGACTTTCCAGTATGAAACAATACTTCACACAAATGTCATAATCAGAACATTGATTATTTTCTTAATAATCAGATAAAAAACATCTATAAAAAAATGCCAATTAAATTAAGAAATTTAATCATCAACCTGCATAGAACAAATCAATTGTTTTCCTATCAAACTCATTATGATTCAGTTCTACATTTGTGTTAATATATATATATATATATATGAATAATTAAATAATCATCAATTTTTATTAATTTTTCGCAGAAATGATGGTTAGGAAATAAAGATTCAGATAGTAAAATACGCGAATAAAAATTGGTACACAACAAAATGGATTAGTCAAATAGATATATCTGACTACCTCCAGCATCCACTGTCTGGTCCAGGAGTCCTCTTCCTCCCACATGGGATATCAAGTAAAATTCACTCATACAGATGCCACAAACATCACATGAATTCACAGCAAACAGCATATATTTTAAACAGTATTTGGTAACAGAATATACATAAATAATATACAGAATCAAACAGCAGAAATCATACACTAGTGTTCCTTCGTTGTGTATGGAGTTATGGACATATTAATCCCAGTAAAATATTATATATTTTCCGAATTACATGTCCCCCTCGTAGCAAAGGCCAAGAAAAAACTAAAAATAAATTTGGAAACAAAAAACACACAATTAAGATGAGTGATCGATCGAGGACAATAGGGATCGTAAACTCATCGGGAACGGCGATTAATCAGATGATAAGAAGTTGTACTCGGCCTTTGAACGTGTATGATTGATTCAGAAACTGCACAAGTTGTCTTACAAGATAATGCAGAAAGATTGAAAAATCCAAACCTTTCACCCACACTCCTTGAGACCTTGGCAGCACCACTTGAGTATCCTTGATCATCGTCGTTGTTGTTGCCGTCGTCGTCCTTGGAGCACTCAACTAGTGCAGCAAAGAAAGGATCCTTTGGGAGATTAGCAGTATGCCTTTTGGAGTTGTGTCCGATCTGAATAATATCATCCATGATCAACTTTTTGGAGGAGATCTTCTGATTACTGAGTGTGGGAGGAGGCTGTGGGAGACGCTTCAATGAGGAATGTAATTGTAATTCCTTGTTGTTGCTGCTGCTGCTGCTGCTAGGTTTCTTTGGAATACCTGGAAAATGTTCCCAAGAGAATGGGACACCGGAAAACCGAAGCGGGGTTGCCGGACTAATAGGAGGAGAAGAATCATGGTCGAGATTACAGGACGATAATACGAAAGATGAAGACGACGACCACGATGAGGAGGAAGAAAATGATGGTGTTCTTTGAGAAGAATATTGATATTTCTTCATGGCTGGAAATATTGTGTCACAATTTTTTGAGACAGTTTGGGTTTGGCATCGTCCACCACTTACATGATCAGAAGGTGAGGAGGACTCCATGTGATAGATGGACATTACTTTCGATTCACCCTTTTCCAACTTTCTCTGGATAAATATGGGATGTTGCTACGTACAGATCCCATTGTCTCTTTAAATATTGTAAAAATGTATTTAATGATGATTATTGTATTCATTAACTTGTAAAACGACCCAAGGAGAATTGATCAATATGACAAAGTAAGGAGAGAGACGAGGACTGTCACTCATGACTACCATCTATTGATATTTTTATTTCAAATGTTACGTGACAAGTTTTGACTTATTGTGTGGCTTAATTAGCTCATATTCCTCATTTCTAGGCATGTTTACTTAGAAAGAATGGGAGTTGGGGTCAATTTGATTCTCGATGCCTTTATTAAAATATAGGAAAGAAAATCAGTTCACCTCTAAACTTTCTCATGCGTTTACTAACACGTTAGAAATCTAAATAACATAAATCAAACTATAGAGTGCTAGCTTATTGGGAAATTTGGAAAAATAACCAAAATTAGAACTCTATATAGAATTATAGCCACCCTTTTAAATTTATGATAATTATAACCAAAATCTAATATAAAAGTACTAATACACACTTATGATTAAAACATTTTACAAAACAAATCCAAAGAAATTCAAAGCCTCAGTTCAGCAACCTAGACAATTCTAGCCCTCTCAAAAAGCTCAAAAGCTCAGCCAATTTCTGATGAGAAGTTTTATTAAGCTCTTGGTTATTTTTCCATTTGATATTTAACAGTTACTTTTCTAAATTTTTCAAAAATCCCAATCTTTGTCATCTTCTTCCCATCCCAGCAAAACCAAGAGGTTGGAGCCTCACGCAACGTTACAATTTGTTTTTCGAAGACAATCATATCATTTATTCAAGATAACCACTAAGCAGTAAGCTATCCCCCTTTCTTTCCCTCTTACATTTCTCTTTGTTGAAGATCAAATTGGATTTAAGTACACGTTACAATCAAATTGGACTCTGATCTGTAACAAGATTTATAGAAAAATGATTGTGCTTTTTGTAGATCAACTGTTTGGGGAGTTGATTTCCAGAAGAAAAGGTGTTGGAATCAGATAAAACCAAAACGAGTTTTGTGGTTACAGCTCTAATCTTTGCAATGGTGGGTGTAATTGCTTCCCTCATTGTTAAAAGGGTATATTAGTATTTTTAAATCAACTTTTGGTTCTAATTATAATAAAATTAAAAGGATGGCTATAATTCTATATAGGGTCCAAATTTTGGTTATTTTTCCAAATTTTCCTTGCTTATTTGATTCTTCTTATTTTATGTATTTGTAAGTTCTCTTGTTCATTCTTTATTCCATTTTTGATAAGTAAACATTATATGAAATATTCGTTCTAATAAAAGATAAAAATTAAAAACCAGCGAAACAATGACAATGGTTGGCCTGTTTTGTAAAGTTTTAAGTTCAATTAGTGTGAATAACGAATTTGATACTAAATTGTTATGTTTAACAATCGACATGGACATAATGAGAATTTGAGTAACGATGTGGTGATCATAATGACATGTTCTGGAATTGTCTAGTGTGGTGGGGTTATATTTTACAAGGAGGAGTGGTTGGGAGGAATCACGTGAACATGGGTTCAAGTCAATTAACAAATCCCTAAAAGCCTCTTTAAGATCCGTGTGTTTCTTGGGAGTCAATTTGTATTTTTTTCTATTTTTTATTTCGAAACGATAGATTTATTAGATTCAAAAAATTAATCGGATTCGAATTTACGTTGTGGTGTAAGATAAACACTTATCTTCATTTATGGTAGAAGGTGACTTGTACCGTTGTACGTATTCAATACTGTGTTTCTTCTATATTTTCTTTTGTTTATTTTTATATTATTTTATTTTCCGTTGGCGAAATTAATGGGAAACAAATTGACATATCATATATATAAAAAGAGGGTTTTTAATAAAGAATAAGTAGCCTCCAATCCAGATAGCTACTACCTTCACACAACATCTCTATATCTTAATCAGTGTTCAAGAACCCTTGGTTTTTTTCTTTAACAAATTAATCAAATTAGTGCAAAACTAATCACTTAATGCATGATGGTAATTTGTGACCGGAGGCATTAATTCAATATTTTTGAAGTGACAGTGAATAAACCGCATTCAATATGAAAGTGAGAATGCCAATGACTCCACAAAAACATGAATAACATGACAAGATTTTGTCGCTTGTCCATCGGTTATTATCTGGTTTGGCTAGATCCTCCAATATGATAAAAGATGTCATTTTTTAATACTCGTTATGTGTTTCATTCAAGTGTCTATAAAACATTTCAAACTCTTTTTATTAAAAGGCGAATCATCGATTTAGTTTTTATTACAAGTTCAACATTGTATTCTCAGACTCCTAAAAGTTGTTGTTATTCAAAGTCTACCAAATAAGTGGAGGATTAATGTTTTAGAAGTCTCTATATGTCCAAAACGCACTCATTGTGTTGCATTGTGGACCAAAAAGCATTGGCATTCGAAGCTTATTATTCGCTTTCTGCAAAATTTTCCAAAGATGTAATTATCATGAGATTGAAAGCGTGCTGAAACAACATATGATGACCAACAAGTTGGTACGCATTTTCGGATGAATCCGATAGGAAATATCTCTTTATAATTTCAATCCAAAAGGTAAAAGTTTTGGAAATGGATATTAATTCCAATTTTGCAATTTCATAAACTCATGGAATTTCACGAATTGTTTTAGTTTTAAAATTTCAAAATTATGGGAGTTGTATATCTTCATTTATACAAAGATCAAAAGTATTCCATCTCCGTCTCTACATAATATATACTTTTATAGTTCTCATGTTTTTTTGGTACGTATTTTTGGAATTTTAGTTTCGAATTTGAATCAAATGAAATATTTGAAACTTGATTATTTCCCCTTCGACATTACCCTAGCTAGGTCATGAACGTAATGAAGAAACAAGCTGAAGTGTGGATATTTGTATTATTGCTAATTACATAATGGTAACGATAAACTACTCAATGATTCACATGTGAGAAACTATGCAAATCCAAATTGAGCCCAAGCAAATTCTTATAGATTCTCTAGTTTGAGAGGGCAGAGCTGCCCAAGTCACGCATGTCCCACCCAATTTGTGAGATTGGATGTGCGCTAGTCAACCAGTTATGTTGAAGTTTCTCTACACAATGAGTACATGTTACTCACGTGAAAGTGGAACTCAATAAATGGCCAAGTCCTTAATTAGAACGATTAAAATTACTACACAAAGAAAACTGTTCTGATAAGAAAGTACTTTGCACCCAAAAGAAAGAACATACAATGAGAACTAGCATTGTACAACACATTTCATGAGATTCTATGCTCATCACAAAAACTCTATGGTGCTATGGAGTACGTGATACTCTGAATTTTTTAACCGTTAGATATTGGTTTATGAGTTTTTTTTTACTAAGGATGTAACGTTTAAAAAACCATGAGTATCAGACACTCTTGAGCATCATAGAAAATCCCTCGTTATCAACCCCATTACCCAAAAGACAGTGACCACACTGCAAATCTATAAAGTTGTTCGTCCATGACATCCTACCCAAATGCCTTGGTACTTCTCAGAAAATAATAAAACAAATGAGACATTGAACGAAGAAAGAGACGGTTTCCTAACCATGAGAATTGTCTTCCCATAGTCAACCACTAAAGCCTATGACCACTTCCATGGTTTCCTAACCATGGACGCGTCTCAGAATTTCTCACAATGACAACACGGCAGGATAATCCTTTTCCAGCAAAATTTCCGAAACCGTTTCCGAAATATGCTTCTGTCCGACCGAACCTTATTATTCTCAATTATATTGCATTTATAGAGACAACTTTACCTTTGGAACTCTTCCTAAGAGTCTACTCAACATAAGCCCCACAGAAACAAACAAAAGGAATGATAAAAACCCCCGGTTCACTGGAACCACGGCTCCCCATATGATAAATTGACCATTTACAGACAGAGAAACAACTTTTTGTCAGTCCAAAATGAACCAATTTAGCTCAGCCAAGAAGTTCAAGCAATCCAGAAGGCTAAGGTAAGGAGTTAGCTAATGAAGAATGGCCAGTGTGCACCAATATAAAGCCAAAGAAAAGCTTTCACACAGGAGTCAATGGCTAACCAGTCAACAAGCCTAGAATGATATGGTGCTCCTATCTACTATGACTTTGGTGTCTCCCACAAATCGTCAACATAGAAAGCTAATGATTTACACATCCAAACCAACGTAAGAGGTTCTTAAGTCCGGCAGCGGCAAGGGCCTGGAGCTTAGGAATGACAATTTTAACCGTTAAAACCAATAACCGTGGATAGCCGACCGAATGAATTTGGGTATGAAAATTCGGATATATTTTGGATATGAGGAAAAACCGTGAATAATATTTAGTTATGGTTTTGGATATAGTTATAGGGGTCTCCAATCCATATCCGTCCCCGAATCCGAATAGAATTATATATAATATAATAGTATTTATATACAATTATATATAATGTAATTGTTTTATATAATATATATATATATATATATGTATATATTTATTATTCATTGAATCCATTACTTGAGAATACAAAAGTTGCACTGTGTGAGTTGCATAGCTCAATACCACACAAAAGAGCTAGTGATAATAATGATCCACACAAAAGAGCTGCATAGCTCAATACCATCATACTTACGTGCATCATTAACCAATGGGATTGGAGAGCGGGTACTAATATCGCGGATTGATGCATTTCAGTTAAAAGACCCGAAGTAGCAAAACCTTGAGTAAAAATAGCACTTGGCGCGGTTATTGCGCTTAAATGGTTTTTATGTTTTTTAAAATACGGAATAATATGAATAATGGAAAAACTCCACGAAAGAAAAATTAATGATTCATATAAATCACTTAATGGTAAATGCCTCAAATACATCCAACGAGTAACTAATAATCCTGTTATGCAGAAAAAAGTAGCTATCATCCCCTTTTCTGACGAATCATCTAGTCCTACGATTTCATCGACTAATAAAATTATCAAATGAATTGTAATTACAATTGAAACGATCGAAAAGGATATATGAGTTAATATATGCTCTAAAGTTGAAAATATCATAAAAATTATTAAATTAATAAGGGCTAAAGTTTTGTCTAAACAGATAAAAATGCGTTTTGAATCTTGAATCTTTAGCACAATCCATATATTCCGAATAGGTCCAAAATGAAATTGAATAGATGTATCTAGGGAAAATTCACTTTCAAGCGACTATTCCCTAGATACACACGTCATAATATACTTTTTTTTATTTCACAGTTGAATCGATTTAAAAAAGACCTAAAGTTAAGGACTTATCAATAGGTAGTGTTGCTCCAATACAAACCCTTCTCCCGCTTAATTAAAAAAAAAAAAAACTTTAATAATTTTTTCTATTATATTAATTAATTTAATATTAATTTAATTGTTCAAGCTCGAAGAAAGAGTCCACAAAATTTGAAGTTGATATGAATCAAAATCTATGAAAATCCGGACCAATAGTACTTACGGAAGATATCAAAGATCAGCCAACATTATTAATATTTAACTTTAATTTTTATGCTCCACAAGATCCATTCATTAAATCATTATATACATCAAATGTTTAATGATGAAATTAATATTTACTAAATTATCATGCATCACTTAAACGAATATATTTTTTGTATTGATGAAGATGGGTATAACCGTTAACAAATGGGGAATCCGTTACCCGGTGGGTATGGTTATGGATAATCCCTCATGGTTAATTGGTGATTATGGATATGGTTAATTTTCATGGTTATGAAATTAGATATAGCATTTCCGTCCTCAAACTGAACCGTTGTTAGAGCCTAGGCAGCTTCTTCTTTCTTCTTTTTTTTAAATTTTTTTTAATTTTTTTTAATTTTTAATTTTAATTAAATTAATTATATAACGTATAAAACTATAAATAAGTGTTTACAAAGAAGTATTATTGGCATTCCAAAAATCTCATTCTACACTTTTCACAAAGTGTATTTTTCTTTCTAAATATATAAAGTTTGGAGTGTAGAATGAGAAATTTGGAGTGCCAATAACAATTCGTTTTTAAAAAAAAATACATAATTGTCTTAAGATACATAAATTACAAAATATAATTATATATAAAGTATAACATGCTAGAACAAAGTGAAAACATGGGGAACAAGCAGTCATAGTGAAAACATAGAGAACAAAGATATATTACTTGTTCTCCAAAGTATCCAACAAGCTTCTTACAATTGATTGAAAAAATAAAACGCAAAATAAAAGTTATCTATTTTTTGTCTAAACGAGAATCGTGACCTAAGCCATTTTCTTAAATAAAAACAAATACAATAAAAAAGGTCAAAGAACAGACCAGCTCGACTAGACCGTCTAGGCAGGCTGGGCGGGTGCCTAGGCAGGTTTAGGTGGGCCCCTAAGCAAGTCGAGGCATCCTTTCTTATTTTCTAAATGCCTAGAGATTAATCAGGAAGGTGGTCAGCCACTTAGAGATTAATCGAAACGGTAGTTAGCCACCTAACACCTAGGCGGGAACTTTTAGAACAATGATTACTGGTTTGAAAAGATCAAACGTCACAAGATACTGTATGAGTGAGGGAAAAGCGCATGCCAACAACAAAAACAAATAGAGCATCACTGAATTAGATGACAATACAGGATCAGAATGCAGTACAATGACGATATGAAAACAGAACACAAACATAACTAAATGTTAAACTGCATAAATTATAATTCAGAAGGTAACATTTAGTCTATTTCGCGAGTACAAGATCAATGAAAAACAGTACATCGCTCGAGAAAGTTGAGAGCATGTACATAAGAAACAAGCCTTAACGAAATACACAAGGGCATAGTTCAATGAATCATAAGCTACACGTCACTAGAATGGATCTACAAACACAAAAAACCGACTGACGAACATAACATTAACCTACAGCAAAGACTTTCAACAGTTGAATATATAGCTATACATCATCCAATGTGCAAAACCAAACAAGCATACAAAGCAGCCAACAACATACTCATTTTGAGACCAAAAAAACTTCAGGTTTCTTAGCTTTGCTCGGGGTGTTAGCACTTGAAGACGAATTAGCAGCCGCAGAATTCTTGGCAGCCTTGCGTGCCCTCTTATCAAGCTGAATGAGACTCTGGGTAGCCAAAATTGCCTGGGGCACCAAATCATGAGACGCCCGAGCATACAATCGCTTTACTGCAACAGAAGCGGCATCCTTAACATCCTGATAATTCAATGGGGCCAACAAACAATGCCCCAATATTCGCAATGCAGGCTGCAATAGCTCCCAAGGTAATGGAATTCTGGACCCCTTTGACTCCAAATGCACACCATTGCTACCAGTTCTCTCAATTCTCATCGTCAACTGATCCATTTCTTCGGTCACATCGCTGATCTCAATATTGGCGCCCTCTAAGAACAATCCCGGATTCATATCCGGCTCGTTGGTATCATCATCACCGAATTGTCGCAGACAAGAGCAATCCTGGCCGGCCCAAGAAGCTAAGAATCGACAAAAGTCGATCTTGGACCAAGTGGGCATCTGGGAAATGTGCTTGTAATAGGAATCGAGGGCAACGCCGACGATGCAGGCACGTTTCGTGGACTTCACCGCGACCTGGGGCTCAAGCGGCGGAGACAAAACCCCAAAGGATTGGTGGGGGGCAGTGGAGAGAGTGAGGGGGTTGGACTTGTTGAGGCGAGGGGTGTGGTAGAGAGAGGGCTGAGAGAGATTGGGGATCGAAACGACGACAGGCTTGCCGTTTCGAGCCTTGGTCTCGGCGGCGTAAAGGGCGAGGAGAACGGATTCGAAGCCGGCGAGGGAGGGAAGAGAGGGGGAGTCAGAGGAGGGAGAGTAGACTCGGGAGAGGTAGAGACCGGAGAGGAGGGGGAGGAAGGAGAAAACGACGAGGCGTAGATGGGGGTCGGAGGAGAGGAAGGTGTCGTAAAGCCAGTGACAGAGGGGGTCGGATCCTGAGCCTGAGAGAGGGGAGGAGAGGGCAGTAGATACGGCGTCGTAGGATTGAATGGAGGAGAGAAGGGAGAGGGCAGGGCGGTCGGAGTCGGCGAGGGAAGAGAGGGATTGGGAGAGGGAAGGATCGAGAAGAGAGGACAAGGAGTGGATGCGGGAGCGGGCTTTGGAGATGGACTCCCACCAGGAGTGCATGGGGTCGTCGGCGGAGACGGAGTTGGAGGTGGAAATAGGGTTAGGGTTGGGTGCGGTGGCGGTGGTGGTGGAGGAGGTAGAAGATGCGGGGGAGTTGGTGCTGTGGTTTATGTGGTGGAAGTCCATAATGTTGAGTTTGGGTTTTGACCGGGTGGGGAAATGTGAGTCAATGTAAGAGAGGGTTCAAACTTCAAACAGTGGGGATTGCGGTTTATTTCTCCCACACGGGCGGCAGACGTAGAGGGTGGGTTTAAGCACTAGTTTGGCATTGAGGTACTTAAAAAGAAGCAGACATGAACAACAGTTGGAGTAAAATTTGTGTTTAGCAATTCTGTTTATTTTCGAAATCACTATCATTTTAAGCTAAAAAGTGGCAAAATGCTGCTTCTCAAAACTAGCTTTTTTTTTTCAAGAGGAGGGTGAATAGTAGAATTTAATGAAACTTTCACAATCTCAAAAATACCCTACTCCGTTTCTCCTTCTTGCTAGGTTGAAGATTGAATCTTCATAGTTGATATTCTTATTTCGCTGGATATGTAGAGGAGGGAGGGGCGATGAGATCTAAGAGGTGGGTGGAGGAACCGAGGCACGTAACAGGGGTGGCGCACGCCTTGGGACAGGGGATAGTGAAGGAAGGCATTGGAGTGTGCGGTGAAGCAGAGTGAGCTCCTCGTTTTGATTCCCACATAGAGATAGGAATTGGGAATGTGGAAATGGGGAAATGGGGAGGTGGGATATGAAGGGGGAATGGGAATGGTGGGGGAGGGATATGTCGAGGAGGGAGGGGCGATGAGATCCAAAAGGCGGGTTTGTTTTGGTGTTTGGTGACTGAGAAATTTGAGAGAGGGGGGAAATGGGTAGAAGGGAAAGGACTGATTTTGTCCTGATTCTTGCCGAAGAGCTCAGGGATTTGAGTTCTTAGATTTTCTTATCCCCAACACCCAAAACACGATTCCCGTAACCCAAACTTGGGGTTAAATTCGTAGGAGTGGAGATGATGATAATCTAGTGGTGAGATGGTATGAGATCGAAGATTTGTGTGTGGGGTTGTCTCGGTGGAGGAGAGAGTGTAGAGAGAGCTGAGAGTTTTCGAGAGAGTTTGGGAGTGTAGAGGGAAAGGAAGACATGGGGATAAGGGAAATGGGGTGTGGGCCCCACGGCCACACAAAATCCTCACATAAAAATACTAATATTAAATAAAATATCATAATAATAATATAGTATAATACCCTTTTTGGTCATTTCATACAGTCACAGTTGTTTTACATAAACGTTTACCAAACACTATCATATTGTTTTTTTTTTTTTTTTTTTTTTTTTTTTCCAAAAGCACTTTTACAAAAAAAAGTTTACCAAATAATCTGCTGCTTTATTTCACAACTGCTTATTCTCACAGCACAACAGAAACAGCTTTTTTTCAAAGCACAGCAATACCAAGCCAGCCCTAAGTTCTAGACAGTGGGAAGAGATCACAGCAAGAGCCGAGAGGGAACCAAGCCAAAGACTGAACAAGTATTTATCAGAAACATTCGTCTAACATTTTTGAGTGAAGTCATTTAGTACTACTCTCTAGTGGCATTTCTTTTCACTTATAAGTAAGAGGTTTTAGGTTCAATTCTCGCTAGACGAATTTGAACTATATCATTTTGCCTCGCCAATTATGAGGCTTACCCACTCCTCTATCCCTTAGTCTAGACAATATCGAACAAAAAAATATATATAAGTCAAGTATTTTCGTTAACACAGAGTTTATGAGTTAAGTATTCTTTGGTCTACATTCTGATTGGAAGTGATTGCAAGCACAGATGCACCACGACATATTGTAAGGGTGAACAAGCACTTATTTTTTGTGTTCTTCCAATTTCTTTATTCATTATTGGACAAATGTATTTAATTATGTTGTATACATTTTTAAAGTAAAGGAAGAAACAAAGTTTGATACTGTGATTTTTTGTGAAATGTTAAAGTAAATTGTCTTTTTATTTTAGCAATGTTAAAAGGAATGAAAACTTAAAACCACAAAAGGAGTGACATTATATCTTTTTCTTTTTCTTTTTCTTTTTCTAAGTGCAGACTCTATACACATCATACTAGAAGAAACAAGTGCAGCAAAATATAACACAAAATAGAAAAAATAGGAAGCTTAACGAAAAGAGCTTGGACCAATTTTTTCTTAGTAAAAAATCACTCTAAACTTTTATTTAACCAAAAGGGCTTAAGATTTAATCATAAGGACAAAACTATTCATATACCAACCCTACAAACATTAAAAACATGGACCGAATTAAAGCCTAACCCACATTAAAATACTTTTTTTTCCATAATTACCCCTAACGGAGCCTAACCCAAGCCCGTTAGCCAATTCACAAATATTACGATTTTGACAATTGAATCCTCACCGCCATTAAGGTAGAGCACCAACCATTTTCATCAAACGGTAACATCAAAGTGGTACAATTTGGGCTAGTTTGAGATTGTGGTGCTTTAAAAAAAAAAAACAACTTATTAAAAAAATCTGGATTATTAAATGTGTTTGGTAAAACAAAAAAGTTGCTTTTTTAAAAACAATGTTGTTAATTATAGTAGAAAAACAGAAGCATGGTAGAAAAATGTTTTTTTTTTCAAAGCATGGTAATTAGTGCTTATTTAATGAAATTTTCAAATGGCAAGTATACCTTCCATATTTTACAAAATTACGATCTTTGCCCTTACATTATTGTCTTAGAAATTTATTATATCACATTAAATATCATATCATTTTTAGTAATTTAACATATTTAAAGCTTTTTTTTTTTTTTTTTTTTTGAATCAAGAAAAATATATTAAAGGGAAAATCCTCAAGTGCAACCGTTCCCTACAGAATCAAATTGAAGAGCATGAAGATCAAATGAAGGAATACAATGATCCCAAATATGACAATTGGTAATAAGAAGGTCATGGCGAGCGAAGGCATCCGCCACAAAGTTAGCCTCTCTATAAATATGTTTCTAGTCAATGCAATCAAAATTGGTCGCCGTCCACTTGATATCTTCAATAATAGGAACCAGATTCCATGGCATCGCACCCCAATCCAACACTGACTAAATGACCAACTTAGAGTCTCCTTCAACCATAATCTTTGTATAGCCCTTCCTCTGAGCAAAGAGAAGGCCCTCTCTGAGAGCCCTAGCCTCCACTTCTGATATAGTGGCACCATCCATATTTAAAGATCCACCTCTAATGAACTGCCCATTATGATTCCTTAAGACAAATCCTACCGCCGCCTTGTCCCCAGCCATTGAACCGTCAAAGTTTATCTTAATAAAACTCTTATCCAGTGGATGCCATTTAACAATTGTAGAAGTATCATCAGTATTTCTTCTCTAACCTTTACCATTGGCTTTAAGATATCACTCACCCATAGAGATAGCCAATAACTTAGATCTTGCCGGGATGGGCACAACATTTCTGAACACCATATTATTACGGTTATTCCAAATTTGCCAACAAAGGAGCAAACACAAGTTCAAATCACTAGGAACCTCCTTATCAACATGCTTTAAAGAATTTAGCCAGTCTACTGCTATGTCAAAGTTAGCATTAATGAAATTGCCTGGCTTACTTGAGCAAAGGTTGCACATTAATTTAGTGACACCACAATTAAAAATGCATTTGGTCCTTGTCTACGGAATTACAAAAAGGACACATCTTATCACTATTAATTACAAAATAACTTAATCTTTTTCTAGTTTGAAGTTTATCACGAATGAACAACCACACAAACATCTTAACTTTAGGAGGAATATTAAGTTTGCACATCTTATTAATTAACTTATGCTTTTTAGATTGAGTCAACGTCCTTTTCTGGATCCAAGTAGCTAATTTAACAGAGAACTTACCATTCGTATTTGGACTCCAAACTAGCACATCTTTGGAATCCTGCAAGGGAATTGTAATATTACAAATTTTCCTCACAATTTCATTACTAACCACTTGCGAAAGCTTTCTCCTATCCCAACAATAATTATCAATAAACTCATTAACTTTCAAGTTCTAATTAATGTTTTGGTTGTCAATATTGGGTAAGAGATGGAACAACGGGTAAGGAAAAACCCAATTGTGGGACCAGTACAAAATGTCCTTACGATTACCCACTCTCCATCTCATGCCCTTAAGAATAACATCCCTACTTTTTCAAGATACCTTTCCAAGCAAAAGAATGATTTTGCCTAATTTTATTATCTAGAAAATTTTCCTTTCTAAGATACTTACTTTTTACTAACTTCACCCACCAGTTATCTTCCTCAGTCATTACCTTCCAACCCAACTTAGTGAGACAAGCATTATTAAAATGATCTAGTCTTCTAACTCCCAAACCTCCCATTTTCTTAGGAGCACAGACCGAATCCTAAGCTACTGGGAAGATTTTCTTGTCCCTACCCCAGGAAAAATCCCTACACTCTTTATTAAGCTTATGGACAATCTTGTTAGGACACTTAAAGAAAGACATAACATGATTAAGCATACCCGTTAGATTAGAGTTAATTAAAGTAAGCCTCCCCGCTCTCGAAAGAGTGCTTGCTTTCCAACCAGCTAATTTTTCATTAACCCTCTTAAGTAACTCATTATCATTAACTTGGTCTTTCCAGAAAATAATATTATGAATTCCTAGATCCTTACCAATAGTAGTTTTATGTTGATTATGTAAAATATTAACAATATCAATTCTAGTTGGAGAAGTGGTATTCTTGGAAAAATACAAGGATGACTTATGAAAGTTTATTTGTTGGCCTGCCGCTTTAGAAAACATGTTAAGGATTTGAAGAATATTCCTCACACCCCTTAGCGTGGCGTTAGCAAATAGGAGACAATCATCAGCAAACACTAGATTTGAAATTCTAAATCCTCTAGGTGAGGTCAAAATACCAATATGAGACTTTGGATTATTTTTTAGGGTATTAAGGTGTCTAATTAATGGTTCCATACAAGTGATGAAAATATAAGGGGACAAGGGGTCCCCTTGTCTAATTCCCTGCTTTAGATAAAAATAACCATGAGGCCGTCCATTTATAACCACAGAAAAGGAAGGAGAAGTAATGCATTCCATAATTAATTCATCCCAACGATTATCAAACCCAAATCCAAGAAGGACATACCAAATGTAATCCCAGTTTAAGTAATCATATGCCTTTTCCAGATCTAGCTTGACACCCATAGCTCTAGTTCTTCTTTTCATCCTATTGCAACCAACAAACATTTCGTG